TAATCTTCATAATTATTACGCTTCCGCGTGTTAATCTGTTTGGAAAGGTTCGAGTTTATACTGAGTGGTTTTAATGGATTGGAGGAAGATTACAAATCATCACGGGAAACGACAAGGCTTGTAAACAAATAAAATGAAAATCAAAGTGGAAAGAAGAAAGTAGAGGAAGGGAAGAAAATTATGAGGAAAGAAACGAAAAAGAAAGAGAAAAAACCGAAAGAACAGTAAAGAAAAGAAAAAGAGGAAGGAAAGATATATATAAAAAGGAAATTGAAAGAAAGGGAAACGAAAGAAAAACAGATAGAGAAAAAACTGGAAAGAGAGAAATAAATAAGGGAAAGGAAGAAAAATAGAAAGAAAGAAATTGAAAAAAAGGAAAAGAAAAAACCCAGAAAGAACCGGAATGAAAAGGAAAAGAAGAAAGGAAAATAGAAAGAAAGAAATTGAAAAAAAAGAGAAAAGAAAGAAAAAAAAGCAAGAACCGAAATGAAAAGAAAAACAAGAAAAATAAAGAAATTGAAAAAAAAGAGAAAAGAAAGAAATAAAAACAAGAACGGAAATGAAAAGAAAAAGAAGAAAAAAAAGAAATTGAAAAAAAAAGAGAAAAGAAAGAAAAAAAAGCAAGAACCTAAATGAAAAGAAAAAGAAGAAAAAAAGAAATTGAAAAAAAAAGAGAAAAGAAAAAAAACAGCAAGAACCGAAATGAAAAGAAAATTAAGAAAAAAGAAATTGAAAAAAAAGAGAAAAGAAAGAAAAAAAAGCAAGAACCGAAATGAAAAGAAAAAGAAGAAAAAAAGAAATTGACAAAAAAGAGAAAATAAAAGAAAAAAAGCAAGAACCGAAATGAAAAGAAAAAGAAGAAAATTGAAATTGTAAAAAAAGAGAAAAGAAAGAAAAAAAGCAAGAACCGAAATGAAAAGAAAAAGAAGAAAAAAGAGAAAAGAAAGAAAAAAAAGCAAGAACCGAAATGAAAAGAAAAAGAAGAAAAAAAGAAATTGAAAAAAAAGAGAAAATAAAAGAAAAAAAGCAAGAACCGAAACGAAAAGAAAAAGAAGAAAAAAGAAATTGAAAAAAAAAGAGAAAAGAAAGAAAAAAGCAAAAACCGAAATGAAAAGAAAAAGAATAAAAAAGAAATTGAAAAAAAGAGAAAAGAAAGAAAAAAACAAGAACTGAAATGAAAAGAAAAAAAGAAAAAAAAGAAATTGAAAAAAAAAGAAAGAAAAAACAGCAAGAACCGAAATGAAAAGAAAAAGAAGGAAAGAAATTGAAAAAAAGAGAAAAGAAAGAAAAAACAGCAAGAACCGAAATGAAAAAAAAATAAAGAAAAAAGAAATTGAAAGAAAAGAGAAAAGAAAGAAAAAAACCAGAAAGAACCCGAAAAATAAATAAAGAAAAAGAAAAGCAGCATGAAAGAAAAATAGAAAGAAAGAAATTGAAAGAAATGAAAGAGAAAAAAAGAACTGGAATGAAAGAAAGAAAAAAAGAAAAAAGAGGAAGGAAAGAAAATAAAAAAGAAAAAATTGAACGATAGAGAAAAGAAAGAAAAACTGATAGAACTGTAAAAAAAGGAAAAAAGAAAGGAAAAATCCGACGTACAAATGAAAGCAAAAAGATAAAGATTATATTTGAAGGCAACAATAGAAGGAAATGCGTAAAAAACAAAAAACATACCGCGTGACAGTGAGAAAAAGAAACAAACACAAATATGAAAAGGAAAAGAAAGAAAGAAAAGAAGCCAGAAAGAAAGAATTGGAACGAAAGAAAGAATTAGAGAAATTGAAAGAAAGGAAAAAGAAACCAAAGAAATAATCTGAAAGAAAGAAAGAAAGAAAGAAAGAAAGAACAAGTCCAACGTAAAAATGAAAGAATAAAAGCAAGATTTTATTGTTAAAATAAAATAACCGCCCCCACAAAAAAAAATGAAAAATGTATTTCGTAAAAACTCTGATAAAAAAAGAAAGAAAAATAACCTGATTTTGAAGAGAAAGAAAGAATGAATGTATTAAAAAAGGAAAGAAAAAATAAAGGAAATAAAGCATGAGGAATATTAAATATGCTAATGAAAGAAAGGTAGCATAAAAGAATACTTATATATCAATTAATCTGTTGTAAAAAATAAAAAAAAACAAAAACCAAACGAAAACTTAATGCGACCCGTGAAGGAAAGAAAGGGGAAATGGAAGGGGAAAAAAGAAAGAATAAATATATTTCAAAACACCTATTACAAGTAGGAAAAAGCAAAGCAAAATCAATGTGGATGTGAAACAACTAATATTTAATTATAGATTCGATTATATACCGGAAATATGTTTATCCAAAGTCTCAAGTACAAAAACAACTAATATTTATTTACAGATTCATGTATAAGCTCGGAATATGTTTATCCAATGTCTCAAGCATAAAAACTACTAATATTTATTTACAGATTCAATTATAAACCCTAAATGTGTTTATTCAAAGTCTCAAGTTCGAAAACTTATAACATCTATTTATAGATTCTTGTATAAAACCTAAATATGTTTATCCAAAGTCTCAAGTACGAAAACAATTAATATTCACTTATAGATTCAAGTATAAATCCAAAATATGTTTATCCACAGTCTCAAGTACGAAAACAATTAATATTCACTTATAGATTCAAGTATAAATCTTAAATATGTTTATCCAAAGTCTCAAGTACGAAAACAGCTAATATTTACTGTGTGTACATGCCTAGTATACATTAAGTCTTTTTTTCACGTGTTGATTTGGGAGTGTTTTTAAGAACATATCGAGTGATTTAAATAAACAGACATTAGTTTCTTTAAGAATAGATTTAATAAAAGTTGGTGATGCAATAGTGTCATTTTTACTTTTTTTATAGTTGGTAAAATATATAATACTAATCCTCGAAGTACTTTCCTCCGTAAAATATTCTGTTCTTTTTTTAATTAAGGTGGCAATAGCACTTGAGTTCATATGTGTTAGGAATGAGTTCGAACGCTGGTCGAAACACAAATATTTGTTTTTTTTTCGTAGATACGGATTTTTAGATCGCATGAAGTCTCTCCGATATAAATGCATTTACTTTATCTGCTATCAATTGTTATCTAACTTACATATGCTCATAATATACCATTGCTACTCCTTATATCCCCTTAACATATACGCACTCTGTGACCATCTACCTTGAGTGGCACATACGCCTTGTCTTGGTTGAATGATAATAAAACAAAATCTATCAGACATACGTCGGCCGTCTTTAGAATTCGGATTTGTAGCTGGATTATTTTTTGTTAAATCTTAAAATTTTCATCCGATTTCGATGTTTTTTTTTCTTCAGTGCCTGTTTTGAGTCCAAATTGTTGGCGACAATGGCTCTCCACTACTTCCTATCCATTATAACTCTTTGCAACGTTTTACTATTGACTATATGTTCTTGGATATATAACTTTCATTAATACTTTGATAAAACATAAATAGTTTAAATTATTAAAATATTATTTATTATTATGCAGTTCTCTTTTCAGAGCCACCCCCATTCAAATTGATTACCTCCCACCCCTCTATTTGGGGATGTGCCTCAGTCGCACCCAAATGCTGTTGCTAATATTGATTTTCGGGTAGGCTGATTTAAACTTAAACTGCTTCAATTGAACGGCAAAAATTCCCAGTAATGAAACCCCCGGGTTATACTGCTAGTATATAAGAATACTCTGATGAGACGCAGGTGAGTATTACGACATGGCGGCCCCAATCTCCTGGCCTCAAACCCATAGAAAATTTATGGAGCATGTTGCTCAACTGCTTTCTCGAGAGCCTGTACTTTATAATGCTCCATCAGTTTTCTATGGTGTTGAGGTCAGGAGATTGGGGCCGCCATGTCATAACACTCATCTGCTTTCATCAATTTTGATTAGTGACAGGGAACATTATCCTGCATAAAAATGAGCTTGGTGGGGACGATTTGCACCCTTTCAGCAGAAGGGAGCAGAAAATACCATAAAATTCTCTTGTACTGCTCGCGCCTGAGGGTCTTTTCAATATGCTTTAAGAAACCAGTTCCATGAAAAAAAAACATCCCCAGAACATTATACTGAACGGATGCTTGACAGTACTTATTGCTAAATTCAAAGAGCTTTCAAAGCTTCTTCTTCGGATTTTAGATCGCTTATCCTTTGAATTTAGCTCAACTTCCGTTTCATTGAAGAAGAGAACATTTAGTAAAAAATATCAGGTGAGTCAATTTTATCGAACAGCACTATATATATATATATATAATATATATATATATATATATATATATATATATATATATATATATATATATATATATATATATATATATATATAGTGAACGTCGTGAACGGACCAGTCGAAGTCAGGTTATACTGCTAGTATATATATATATATATATATATATATATATATATATATATATATATATATATATATATATGAGAAAATATAATGAAAGACCCGGTCAAAGACGGGTAATACAGCTAGGATTTTTATATATCTCAGTAGGTGACAAATTTTATAATAAATTTTTTGAAACAAAAATTGTTAGTAATCCGTTTAATATTTTGAAATATTAATTGTTGGTTGGTTGTATTTTTTTAGTCGCATATCAATATTTATGTCTTATTTAATGTCGCAATTTAAATATTTTATTTTCTCTTTGGAGGTAATATTTCAGTGATGGGATTCTTACTAATAAATCCAGAGCTGGAAGGAGGAGATACCAATTAATACCTTTCCCAACTTTATTTGAATTTAAATAAGAGAATATAATGAACCTAACTGGAATTGGAACACGGCTCTCCGATTAAAAATCCCAAGTCATTATCCAATACACCACCCGCACATTCAAGCTTATATCGCTTAGTATATTCAATCCTTCACCCATTTCGATACTGACCAAGCTGGACGTTGCTTAACCTCGTTCACCGTAAGTAGATAAGTGTTTCTACGTGATGTGGCCGTAAGCTCATTTCATCACGAGCACAGCCAAACTTAACGCACCTGGTATTCCCAAGCAGTCACCCAGCTAAGTATTGACCAGGTTCGACGTTGCTTACCTTCGGTGATCGTATGGCAAGCAGTGTTTCAACGTGATGTCACAGTAAGCCAATTATATCACCGGCACATCCTTGCATACGACACCTGGTATTGCCAAGCGGTCACCCATCTAGGTACTGACCAGTCTCGACGTTGCTTAATTTCGGTGATCAACGTGATATGACCGTAAGCCCTTTGGAGACGACAGAGCCGATATATCGACCGAAAAGTTGAAAGCCGAAGACAACTGGGCCGATCCGTCGGCTCGATGATACAAGCCTCGAGATTAGCTGGCTGGTCTTCGTACCAGCCAATCAGATTGCTTCTCGTATTTCTTGCATATCTGGGCCGTTCAATGGCAGTTTATATGTCAGTTTGCGTTGTTCCGTGATTTTATATCGATATTTTTTGTGTCCTAAGTGAGGACATGTGAAAAGCACCCCGTCTTAGCACTTTTTTTTAAAAGCATTTCACCCCAAGCAAAGCGGGAAGCCACTAGGACGCAAGGGGTTACAGAAAGTTTAGAGCAAGGTCAGATAAGAGTGATAGAAGAAAGGATGAGGGTAGTGGATAGATCAAGGCAACTGGAGATGTCGATTGACATTACACTTGAATAGCTGGAGATTATAACTCACAGGGAAACAAGAATAGGGGAGTGAGTTCCACAGGCGAGAGGTGCGAGACATGAAGCTATTAGAGTAGAAGAGACGGCTACATTTAGGAGTTTCGACAGTGAAGGGTTGAGAGCGGGATGCCAGCCTCATAAGGCGCTGGAACTCATGACGTCTGGGAACCAGCGAATGCAGCTCCTCGGAACAATTCCCATGAAAGTATTTGTAAAACAGACAAAGGGAGGCGACGGCGCGTCTGTGAGAAAGTGACTGTAGACGAGACGCCAGGGTAGGGCCAACTACATTGCATATCCGCCTCTGGAGCCTATCAAGAACCCCGAGGCAAACAGAAGGGGCACCAGACCATATATAGCAGCAATACTCCATGCAAGGGCGAATTGTGGATTTGTATATCTGGAGGATCGACTCCGGGGAGAAAAACTTCCTGGCGCGGCTCAGGGAGTCAACTTTCCTTGCGGTGGGCGAGGCAATTGACTCGATGTATTTATTCTATCTCAGGTCAGCAGTCAACGTGAGACCGAGAAGCCGCAGTGAGTTGCTCTCGAGAAGTTGAGCGTCAGACATTCTAATGGAGGGAAGGGAAGGATCTCTGTGGTGATTAATAGAGAGAAGTTTTGTCTTAGAAGCGTTGAAGTTGACCAGCCAATTCATGCCCCAGTTCACAATCGATTGGAGGTCCTTTTCGAGACGCACAGCAAGGTGAGTTTTGTCAGCGAGACTAGATTTGTTTTTGAGGCAGGAATAAATTGTGGTGTCATCCGCGTAGATGCCAACTTGGGAAGTTATGGCGTCAGGAAGGTCATTTATGTAGATAAGGAATAGCGTGGGGCCTAGGATGGAGCCTTGAGGAACACCTGCGTTCGTGGGATAGGAACTTGTTGTGAATATGGATTATCTCCTCTTTGATAATCCAAGCTATAAAAGCTGTACATTTCCGCTTGTCAAGTAGACGAGTAGTAAGATTCTTAATTGAATAAAAGATTACTAGACAGAATCTTTTGTCCTGTTTTCATTACAGCACTAAAACTCCTAATGTGGAACCATCTCCAAAGGGTTAATAATACGACGTCATCATGCACGGTATATTTTTTCCAAGGAAACACTAAGAGAAAACCAAACTGGGAAGCGACTTGAAAGTTCAGCGTGGTTATTAATGAAATATGTTAGACGTTTTAGCCAAGTTTTAATTAAGAAAACATAAAATATATATATATATCTTAAGTTCTTCCAGCATTTTTGGAAAAATAGTAATCGCATTGTTAAAATAAAGCAGTGTTTAAATAAATGTTAAAAGGTTAGGTTTGTCATAATGTCTGTATTTCTTAATCATAAAACCCCGATAATTCCCCAAAAGGAAACTTTTGAGGTTTTTTTTATTTAAATATTCGCGTATGTTCAACCGTTGAGTCAGGAAGAAGAAAGCATCTGCGAACAATCAGCGAAAAAATCATCAAGGAATGTGTTTGTTTTATTTATAAATGTTAAGAACCTCATAAGGGTAGGCTTATTTTTGTTAAGGTATTATCGTTTCTGACAACCTCAAACTATATATATATATATATATATATATATATATATATATATATATATATATATATATATATATACACCTTTTGTGCAAATTAATTGAAACAACTGTTTTATTTTCTTTTCTTTCACCATTCGGTCAGTTTTAGACCCACTGGAGTGACAAGATGTAATCGATTTCTATGTTTTACACAGATTAGTTATTTGCCCTGGTGGGGCGGCAGTACTATGAATCTATTTTCGCGGTGTATGATGAAATTTGTTTGGCCTTGAAAAATATTGCGTCAGCCGTGATTGCATCAGATTTTTATCACGCCCAGACACTAATGACTCGACAGTCAATTAGTTGTCCTACAGCCATTTTAAGCACACGAAAAATGTAACACTGCATGAACACACTGGCAAGCCTTACCAGTGAGCAAATCAAAGTACTATAGACTGGCTCGGAAACCCTCCTTATTTAAATCGAATTGAGATTCTATTGTCAATCTGCAAGGCAAGATTTTGTGGAATGGACATCCGAAGTACTGACATTTGCACTGGGTCATGTTTTGTTGGAAAAATACGAAAAAAAAATAACGGAATTATTCGTTTACTTTCAATTAATTTGAACAAGAGTGCACATATACTACAGTCAATGTTTTGAAGCCACCATTAGTAATTTTTTAAATTGACCCCCAAATGTAGATGTTTTGTACTTTAAATAAGAGAAAGATATATGGTTAAAACAGTGAGACGGGATTTTTAAGACAAAAAAGCATTTTATTATTACATTTTGCTCTCGTCAAATTTTCCTCCTTTAGACTTGATTGCGAAAACAGAAATTTTTGGCATTCGATGCGAAAGTTTCTTATATTATAAGTTTGATAATGGATTCCATTCTTTTTTCAATGATTCTAAGAGCTCTGTTACATTTTTCCCCTCTCCCTTCTAGCTCATACCGTGCTAATTCGGGAGAGGCTTGAAACATTTGAACTGTAGTGTATATATATAAAATTTGATATATAAAAGAGGATATTTACATACCCTCTATCTCTGATATTGACCACTTTCATCCATAAATATAGCATACCATAAAACTATACTTTATCATATATATATATATATATATATATATATATATATATGTAATTAAGTAATTCTTTGAGTCAAGAAGAAACCTCAATAGAATGCAGAAAGCACTGGACGGCTGTCTCGTCCTATATTTGGGACAAATCAGCAGTGCGAATCCACTACCAAGAAGTAAAACCCGGAGGACAGGTACGATATCAGGCAAACGTCATACCAACTGTAACAACGGGCCTCGGTTACGAAGAGGTAACGAATTAGACTCGATATAGCGCTGCTCGATCGCATATTCTGTGGTTGAACTCATCTGATTTTCTCTTTTACCCATAGGACTGTGCAACCCACCAGCCCTGACTACTGTCACCAAACCGCTCCATCCAGAGCATTAGAAGCCGGTTCAAGCAAGGCTATACAAGTGATAGAAATTATTAGGACGATTTGAGATAATTGTAATTAAGTAATTCTTCGAGTCAAGAAGAAACCTCAACAGAATGCAGAAAGCACTAGACGGCCGTTTTATCCTATATTTGAGACTCATCAGCAGAGCGCATCCACTACCGAGAATTGAAACCCGGATAATTATGGGACGAAACGGCCGTCCGATGCTTTCTGCATTCTGTTGAGGTTACTTTTAGACGCGACGAATTACTTAATACAATTATCTCAAATCCTCCTAATTTCTATCACCCCCCGCCTATATATATATATATATATATATATATATATATAGACCTGTTAATGAAATTTGAAGAATAAAAGACAACAAAATGAATATTATCAATACGATTGTTGGTATTTATCGTATATTTATTATATATATATATATATATATATATATATACATACATATGTGTGTGTGCGCGTTAATCGGGATCATCAGGCCATTTAGCATGAAACGGACTGTCAACTCATGGTGTTTAATTCAATGTCTTTTCATTATGTTTACATACGCCCTATTACTGATATTAAGCACTTTAACCCATATATATAGCATTACTTAAAACTATATTTTATCATATATATATATATATATATATATATATATATATATATATATACGCATCTGTTTTACTGTAATAACTATCACAGTCATTTTATATCTGTCTGTTTGTCCCCTCTCTCTCTCTCTCTCTCTCTCTCTTTCTTTCACTCTCTGTATCTCTGTCTTTCTCTCTATCTATCTCTCTATCAATCTGTCTGTCTATTATCTAGGTCTCTGTCTGTCTGTCTGTCTCTCTCTCTCTCTTGCTCTTTCTTTCACTCTCTGTATCTCTGTGTTTCTCTCTATCACTCTCTCTATCAATATGTCTGTCTGTCTATTATCTATGTGTCTGTCTGTTTGTCTGTCTGTCTGTCCCTCTCTCTCTCTCTCTCTCTCTCTCTTGCTCTTTCTTTCACTCTCTGTATCTCTGTGTTTCTCTCTATCCCTCTCTCTATCAATCTGTCTGTCTGTCTATTATCTATGTCTCTGTCTGTCTGTCTCTCTCTCTCTCTCTCTTGCTCTTTCTTTCACTGCTAAATACTACTAGGCCATTTGACTAAATTGAAACACGAAGATAAATATTTTCAAGTCTAAATTTTCGGACACGCCTGTGTAATTTTCAAAGAGACGAGGAAAAATAAACAAAGAGGGACTCAGTCTCCGGAAAATATTTTTGCTGTTAGTTAGTGGTCTCCCTGTGGAAACTATATTATCTGAGTAAACTTAAATTAATATATATATATATATATATATATATATATATATATTAAGAAGAATAACTTAAAGATACATTTCGGTTATAATTTATTTCGCGAATATTTCAAACTCTTAATAAAAAGAGGACAGTTTGTCCGGACTGACATAAAAGATTAGCAGGAGGAAGGGAAAACTTTTTCAATAGAAAAACACTGAAAATTAGTTATTCCTGTGCCAAAAAACTTACAGAATATTATTAACACATACAACAGCAAACACTAAAGGCATTTTCTGACGGTAAAACAATAGAAAACAAGTCTTCTTGTAAGTGTAAAACCGGGATCATCTGCCCAGTTGGAGGTATCTGTAATTCGGAATATGTGGTATACCAAGCTACCATTTATCCGAAAGACAATATTAATGATAAAAGAATATTTATAGGGATATCAGCTGGGAATTGTAATGCTTATTAAGACACAAAACTGAGCAATACTGGAAGATTAAAGATAGAGGTTTCAACCCACATATTAAATAGGGCATCATCTGTCGGTCTCAAACCCATAACAACGTCCGGGACAGTTGCAGACTGTACATACAAGGGAACATTGCAATAAACAAATAGAGGCCTGCTGAACAGTTGTTGAATCAAAGAAACGAAATTATTTTCAAGTGTAGACATAAGAACAAGTTTAAAATTCCCCAAAAGTGTAACTTTCGGGGTATACACTTAAAATGTTAATTCATTTATTTATTTCACATCGGATCACACACCACATCACCTTCATCTTCCCCTTCTCTTCCATTACAAAATTTCTCTCTCAATTTCACTTTTTAAAATGAATTTTTTATTGGAAAATCTGTTAATTTTCTTTTTTCAGTTCTTTTTTCTCGTCTTTATTGCTTTTACTTCTCCTGTTAATCTAGCATATCAATCAGGAGAAATTGTCTCCAGTTTTTTAAGAGCTTTCCGTTTGAAATGATATATATATATATATATATATATATGGAAAAAAAATCCGAATATGCAAATATACTGTTTTAATGTTATTTCAATGTCAACGTCAGGCGTTTCGATCTAGTAGACCTTCTTCAGGACATAGTTATTAAAACATAATTAACATTAGACGATATTGAAGTCAACATGAAAAGACGATAGACATAAGAGTAAGGCTATTCAAAACGTCTGATGTTGACATTGAAATAACATTAAAACTACATATTTGCATATTCGGTTTTTTGTTTTTTCCATACATTTTTCTTCATACTGTCAGATCTATATCCATATATTTGCTTACACACATATATATATATATATATATATATATATATATATGAAATATAAAGAAATTATAAACAGAATGGATCTTTAAGTCTTTTCTTCTTGATTTATTATTATAATATATATATATATATATATATATATATATATATATATATATATATATATATATATATATCCTATTGAGTTTGTTTTCATTTTTCTTTCTTGCTTTCTTTTAATTTTTCTTCTTGCATTAGATCGTTTTTCTTTCTTTCTTTCTGTCCTATTTTCTTTTTTTCTTTCTTTTTATGCTATTTTTCTTCTATTTCTTTCTTATTAATTCTTCTTCTTCAATTAGATAATTCTTTCTTGTCTATTTTGTTTCTACTTCTTTCCTTTGTTCTCTTCGTTGTTCTTTCTTTAGATCATACTTTCTACCTTTTTTATTTTTTTTTTTTCTATCTTACTTATTTTTCTTCTGTCTTGATTTCCTCTGTAGACAAATCGGTTAAGGCACGTCATGCTAAATGACGGTTCCATATAGGATACAGGTTCGAATCCTGTCGAATTACGAATATTTTCCGTAAAGATTGTTATATATATATATAGAGAGAGGCCGAAACTTCTCTTTAGGAATGTCTGACTGAATAAAGTACAAACATTATGTCTGCTCATTTTTATCATAATCCTTTCATATTCACGAATATTTTTTCCGTATATTTTAATCAAATGAGACAAGAAATGCACTGTAACAGTGAAATTCACTTTTGTTTTAAAATGACTTCCATTAATCCTATGTGTTCTAATGAACACTAAAACATAACTGCCATCTGTTGCATTTAAACGGAAAAAGAAAAAAAACTAAGTAATGGAAAGTTACACATAGCTTTTGCGTTACCAGCTGCATCTGTGATGATGATCTCAGAAAGAGGTGGAAAGTATATATATATATATATATATATATATATATATACGGAAAAATATATATTATTTTTAATCTTTTTTAGATATGGATGAGATTATTATGTTTGTATCTTCTACTAGTATGTTTTTCTCATGGAGGTAAGTTTGTGTGTGTTTAAATGTAAAAGAAATATTTTAAAATGACTTAAAATAATGGACACTTTAATAATAAAAATGATAAATTCAACACTATAATATTAACTACGAACACGGCCAAAATTGGTTAACTGTGTTCGGAAAATGAAAAAAATCCCTATAACTCTAAAAACATACTCACAACCAATATACCTATAATAAATACGCAGATATCTTTTCGTTGATTTGTTTTAATATTTTATATTATGAGGATTCAATTGGATTACTTAACTAATTATTACATATATATATATATATATATATATATATATATATATATATATATATAATGTGTGTGTGTTTGTGTGTTTTTTTGAACGTGAACAAAAATCTTCACACTGGTTCATGCTCTTGAAAATGTATTAAAATTACTTTATAAACATTCAAAAATAATTTTCTCCACTAACCAACGTCTTTAGCCTCAAATAAAAAAAACAAATAATTTTTTTTTTCTACTTCTTTTTCATTTAAAATATAGTTTGTCTTTCGTGAAATTCTAAAATGGTGATCCTACGTTTTGGCATTGCTACTGATCTGTAAGGTGTCGAGTTTCTGGTACTGAAACGGGAAGGAACAGAAAAAAAAGAGAAGAAGAAGAAGAAGAAGAAGAAGAAGAAGAAGAAGAAGAAGAAGAAGAGAAAATGATATAATAGATGATGATGAAGAAGAAGAAGAAGAAGAAGAAGAAGAAGACAAAAAGATGTAATAGATGATGAAGAAGAAGTCGAGAAGAAGAAGATATAGATGAAAGATGTAAAAAAGACGTGGGGAAATGTGAAAAGAGAAGAATAGGTGAACTAAGAAAAAGAAAAAAAAAAGGAAGAAAAGGAATACAGAATAAGAAAAAGGAAGTAGAAAAGGAGGTAACAGAAGAAAAATAAGTATATTGAAGCAAAAAGAAAAAAGATGAAGAAAAATATGCACAAAAGAAAAAAAAAAGACGTTGAAAATTAAGAAAAGACGAGGAAAAAGATATTGACGAAAGAGATAAAGAAAAAGATGTAAAAAAAAGATGATATTGAAGCAGAAAAAAGATATAGTAAAAATGCAGAATAGATTTTGGAGAAGAAGAAAATGATGTAGAAAAGATGTAGAAAAGATGTAGAAAAGATGGAAAAAGTCAAAATGTTGAAAAAAAATATAGAAAATGTTAAAGAAATAAAATGCAGAAAAAGATGCGATAAAGTAAATAGAACAGATGTTGAAAAAGTTGAATAAAGATGTATAAAAAGATATAAAAAAAAAAGATGTTGAGAATAAGAAAAATGATATTAGAATAGATAGAAAAAAAAAATATAAGATGTTGAATGAAGAATACGGATGTAGAAAATGATACAAAAAAGACAAAGAAAAGATGTAAAAGAAAAAGAAAAAAAGATGAAAAACCGAAAAGGAACAGATGTTAAAGACGAAAATGAAGAAGAAGAGACTTAATGAAAGAAATGATGAAGAAACTAATTCTGTAAAAACATGAAAGGAAATAAAAATAAATAAAGCAAGAAAACAAGTAAAAAAAAAAAAGAGTGAACTGATGGACTAAGAAAACAGGAAGAATGAAACGAAGGTGAAACAAAGAAAATAAATAAAAGAAAACTAGAAAAAACAAAGAAAAAAGAGCTATAAGAACGAATTTAAAAAAAGACAGAAAGAAAAACAATGAATAAAACAAACAATAAAAGAAACGAAAGAAAGGGAAAAAAGAAAGAAAGACAGAAATCACAGAAAACATAGTACCGAAAAAAAGAGAAGAAAAAATAAAAAACAAAGAAGGCATGAGAGAAAGATCGAAAGAAACAAGCAAACAATGAAACAAAGAAAAAACGGAAGGAAGGGAGGTAGAAAAAGAAAGAGGGAAAAAATCATACAAATCATTGCAATGGCAAAGAAAGAAAAGGTAAAAAGAAAATAAAGAAAGAAACAACAAACAAACAAATAACCAAAGAAAATTCGATAAGAAGGCAGAAAAAAAGGAAGGGAGAAATAAATAATATAAAAGAATTGCAAAGGCAAAGAAAGAAAGAAAGAAAGAAAGAAAGAAAGAAAGAAAGAAAGAAAGAAAGGAACAAATAAACAAACAAAAAGATAAACAAAAAAAAAGCAAACGACAAAAGAAAATTCGGGAGGAATACAGAAAAAAGAAAGAAAGTCGGAAATCATATAAAAACATTGCGAAGGCAAAGAAAGAAAGAAAGAAAGAAAAGAAAGAAAGAAAGAAAGAAAGAATCAAAGAATCAAAAAACGACTAAAGAAAATTCTGAATACAAAAGGAAATGAAAGAAACAGAAAAATCATATAAAAACATTGCGAAGGCAAAGAAAGAAAGAAAGAAAGAAAGAAAGAATAGAAAAAAAGAAAGAAAGAAAGAAAGGATCAAAGAAAATTCAGAAGTAGTAAAGAAATAAAGGGAAGAAAGAAAGAAATATTAAAACCTTGTCACGTTAAAAAAGAAGAAAGAAATAGAAAGAAAAAAGAAAGAAAGAATAAAGTATGTAAAAACATTGGAATGGCAAATGAAGAAAAGAAAAGAGAAACAAGAAATAAACAAATAAAGAGGGAAGAATAGAATAAAATATAAAGGGAATTACAATAAAAATAAAGAAGTAACTAAAAACATTAAACAAACTATCAAAAAAGAACTTAGGAAAAAGAAAGAAAGAATTGGCGAAGAAATAAATAGAGAGAGGGGAAAGAAAGAAAGAAAGAAAGAAAGAAAGAAAGAAAGAAAGAAAGAAAGAAAGAAAGAATCTGCCAAAGAGAAGCTGAAAGAAAATCGGCAAAAAACAAAAAATAAATAAATAAAATAAAGAGCGGAAAGAAAAGAAGAAAAAGAGAAGCGGGGTGCGAGGGGTGAGGGAAAAGGTAAAATAAATTCGAAGGATGTTGAAAATCGAAATAAAAATGGCTAAAATGATCGAAATGTCAATAAAACAACGGTTAAAAATGCAAGAAAGTAAACCAAGAAAAAAAGTCACGAAAGTGAGACCAAACGTGAAACTGAAAAAAAAAAAAATTTAAAAATCACATAAAGATAAAAATAATTTTTAAAATAATAATAATAATAATAATAATAATAATAATAATAAAAAAAAAAGAAAAAAAAAAAAAAAAAAAAGAACGACCTGCGAAGAAGACACCCCGGAAAGGAGAAGCCGATGAACAGAGGGAAAATAACGAAAATGTAAAGAGCACCATGGAATGAGATGAAAGAGGAACTTGGCAGCCATTTTGAAATGCGATCTGAGTTGTGAACGGATTCTTGGCTTGAAAGAACGACAATCAGTGCTCGACCGATCACGGTGCGAGTGCATTGGCAAAATCGGCTGACGATAGATGATATCGAACCTAAATGTGGAATAGAAATTCGGTTTCCTATCGAACATCTGACATAACAGCCGAGTGTTATATTTCACACAGCCATACACACAGAATTGCTTCTTCTTCTTCTTCTTCTTCTTCTTCTTCTTCTTCTTCTTCTAGAGTCTCCTTTCAATTCCTTATACTGCAATTACAGTTACTCTCTTTTTTTCTGGAGTAAATTGCACTTTTACTGTTTTTCTTTCTTTCTTTTTATATTTCTTTATTTACTTCTCTCTTTCTTTCCTTCTTTCTTTCCACTCTCACATAATTTACTTTGTTTATTTCTTTCTGTTTACCTTTACAGGATCTCATTCGTATGTTTTTTGTTTTTTTCTTTCTTTCTGTCTTTCTTTTGTACATTCATTCTTTCTTTCTTAATATTATCTTCGTCCAGAGACTTATCCCATTTCTTTCTTTCTTTCTTTCTTTACCCCCTTCTTTTTTCTTTCTTTCTTTCTTTCTTTCTTTCTTTCTTTCTTTCTTCAGAGGATCTCCCCTGTGTGTTTATTGCTTTCTTTTAACTTCACAGGATCTCATTTGTATATTTTTTTTCTTTATTTCTTCAAAGGATCACCTTTGTTCGTTTGATTTTTATTTATTTTTACTTCACAGGATCTTATTCGTATGTATCTTCCTTTTTTCTGTCTAGCTTTCCATGGTAATTAGTCTAACATTGGTTAGATGCCTCGGAAATATATATATATATATATATATATATATATATATATATATATATATATATATATATACTGTCATTATACGAAGACAATGAGTAACTACCGACATTGACGTTTGGGTGTGACAATCTGCACATTTGGACTTATAAATATATGTTTTCTGTCAGGTGTATAAATAGCGGTGTCAGGCTACTGACTGCGGTGATTATTGTGTGACTATTGAGTGTAACTATCCAGTCGAATTAGTGTGAATTATTGTCTGTCGATGATTTGGGTTTTGATTTAGGATTTACCTGATGTCAAGCCGAGCCGCCCTACTAACAAGGTCTTCATTGAAATGGTTAATTATATTTGGCTGACTTTTACTTCTTTGTTCTTGTTAAGTATTGATTTGCGGTTGTAAGTAAATGGTGTTTTATCTTAACATTAAAGTCTTGAGTCATACTTAATTATTAATAGTCACCATATTTCGCAAAAAATACAATAGTTGCTCAATGTCGTGAATATTTACATTTAAAAATACATTTATATTCCAGAGAATATAAATACATCTAAAAGTCATGCCTGAGTAGTTAATCAATATTTCACTGATTGATTGATTCAATTTCTATGGCTTATCAACCCTTTTTAGATTATATAAAGTCGGAAAATATAGTAAGAATTCTTTTTGGTGATATTAATGAACGAACGGGTAGTGATGGTTCAACGTGATATGGTCGTAAGCCACACACACACACACACACACACACACACACACACACACACACACACACACACATATATATATATATATATATATATATATTAAATATAACAGACAATGAATGTCTGTTATGTCTTTTCATGAGCCGTTCTAATGTTCGTATATTTGCTTCAATTTCGGATGAAAATAAAGCCAAAATTGTCCAATATTTGGATATTTTTTTATTAAATTTGCCCTTGATCTAAGCTTTAGGTTCACAAGAATCATCTTCAGAGTGGTTATACGGATATATTAACAAAGATATCCATCATCAAAGTCATATTCTGTTATGCTGACAAAGAAAATCGCTATGCGACGATAACTGTCGCGGAATGGCAGACGCAGATCGTAAGTTCAAGGTGCGGTTCTATGACGTCATACGACGCGATTGACCGAAATATTAACAGCAGATCTATATATTTAGATGCAATGTAATGTGTTGTGACTAGTTTGAAATGTCATTTTGTTGAGTGTGGGTTGCTTTGCTTTAATATAGATGGCCTACAATATCTGAAGGTTCTTTTTACTGTGTGTATGTCTGAGTATCGTTTTGTTATCAACTATATCTGTCTAATATTATGTAAATGGCTATATTTTTCTAAGAAATGCTGTTTAATAGAAATAAGATCATAAAAGTGACAGGTAAGTCTACGTGATATCGTGGTTGTAATAAAACCAATATGTAGTGAGTTTATTATTAGCATCAGAGATACAGTCTCTGAACGAGTATGTAAATTGATACATTACATTATATTAGGATTTAGTTGGGTCGTTGTAGGGTCATAAGAGACTATGAGGTCAAGTTGCCATTACGAACTTTTGAACTTAAAAATTAACGTAACACGAAGATTTGATTAACACCCAGTATTAGATAGATGTCTTTTATTGATTTTACGTCTTTCCATATTTTTCTTTTTTTTTTCTGTTGTATGCAATTCTTTACAACCGTTTCTGTCTCTGTGTTGTGTGTCCCTATGTATGTGATTGTGTGTGTGGTCTAAAAATCTACCGCTATATCCACGATCCAACATGACTGCACACATTTTGCTTCCTCTCCTCTTTGACGTCTTTTTTCATCCTCGGAGTGGCTGGTTTTGATTTGTGTGGGTGGCGGGACATCAGGAACGAAGAAAATAGCAAAGCATTTACAGGAAGAGTGTTGTCGGCAAAGTAGCGACGCTTGCGTTTGTGCAAACGTAATACAAAAACAGAAACGATGAAAGCGAAAATCTTGACATAGCAACTTGCAAAACTGAGAAGTAATTAACTGTGACCAGCAGACGGCTGTAGAAAGGAAGACATAAAGGGCGGATAACTCTTCTAAGTGGCCGACATTTTTTCACCAAACCATCGTTTTTTCACATCATACCTACAACCGGAAGAATACTAAATAAATATACTGCTTAATACTGTTATCCACTGTCCACTGATATGAGGTGTAACAAATACATAGACTTAATAGCTTTATTTACCGCAAGAAAAGTTGACCCTCTGTGTTGTGCCAGAAAGATTTTCTCGTCTGAGTCTATCCTTCAAATATATAAATCAACCACCCGTCCTTGCATGGAATATTGCTGTCATATGCGGTCTGGTGCTCCCGCTGTACGTCTCGAGGTCCTCGACAAAATCCAGAGACGGATATGCAATATGTTAAGTCCTGATCTGGCATCTAGTCTACAAGTGCTTTCTCACAGACGTGCCGTGGATCCCTCTGTCTTTTCTAATCGTATTTTCATGGCAACTGTTGCGACAAGTTGCTTTCGCTGGTTCCTAGACGGCATGAATTTAAGCGAGTTACTAGGTTGGCATTTCGGTCCCACTCTTTCCCTGTGGAAACGGTTAAATGTAACCGTCTCTTCTACTCAAACAGCCTCTTTTCTCGCACTTCTAGTTTGTGGAATACTTTTCCTCTTACTTGATTCCCTGATAACGATAATCTTCAAATGTAATGTCAATCGACATCTTCTGATAGTTTTATCTTATTCCCCGTCCTTCTCTTTATCTTCTCCCCTTCTTCTTTACTCTTGTTCACTACCCTCTATAACTCCTTGTGAGCTAGTGACACTTCGCCTTGCTTACGGAGAAACGCTTAATTTAAAAAAAAAATACATAAATAAAAACGGATCATCTATTCAAATATGGGTTTTAGAGAATTTTTAGTTCAGTTTTTTGAATGATAACTCTAACATTTTTAGGCATTTAAAACAACATGCCTGGTCGCGTACACAATCCCGGAAAATCATTTTTGAAAACACAACTATACTTAAACATGTAAACAATAAACAAACGCTAAAAATTCTTGTAATTGTATGCATAAAACTGTTGAAACCTAACCTGAACAAAATAAACTACGAAATCTCCGCAAACATACTTAAAGGCCTATAACTGAAAACAGAAGCCATTGGTTTATACAAACGGCTTCTCATACTTAATACTTCTCGTTTTCACTCTCGCGTGGTCATGTGTAACGTCACGAGCTGCGACGAGATTTTTACTTCCGCGTCTCGTATACACTAGTTAGTTGTTGCTTTGAAATTTTTCATGCAACAAAAACAGACTATCATTATTGTTTCGTACGTGTATTGGTTGATATATTGAAAAGTAATTGTCATCTTTCATAATGGCTTATGTAAGCCGAAAGCTTAGATTGGATTTATACATGTATCAATATGGTGATTTCGTTTCGTCCTTCATTTGATAATGTTATTAAGCTTATCAGACAATATGAAAGGAACTTACTTAAAATAAACAGACAAAACTTGTCTATATTATTTAATGAAACATGTATCAATGAAAAATTGCTGCCTAAATATATACAATATATATTATCAATTTGTGACTGGTAGGCAAAATTCCAACGAAGATATTAATCCAGGTAGAGCTTAATGTAAACTATAGAGAATAATAATAATAATAATAATAATAATAATAATCAAGAAAACATTAAAAATTCATTTCGGTTATAATTTATTTCGTGAATATCTCTATATATTCGACTCTTCAGATCGAAATCTTCTAGAAAATGGTAAAATAAAATAAAATAAATAGTAAACAATTAGAACCGAAATTAATCTTTTAGGTTTTCATCTCTTTTATATATATATATATATATATGTGTGTGTGTGTGTGTGTGTGTGTGTGTGAAAAGTGTATATAAATATAAATAAATATATATATGTATAATTATTTATATATTATATGCGCGGTACTTATTAGAAAGCGCTCAATATCAGAGATAGAGCTAACTCACATTTATCCAACCATATATATATATTTGTTTTTGGGTAAATTGTCGGTATTTTTATTTTTTATTTCGTGCATGAGCATTGTTTGATTTTTGATTTTGTCGACTGCCCAACATAGTAGGGTCAGTTGAGCACCGTCTGTAAGAAAAATAGCACCAAGACACAATTCAGTGCGCCACAAATTTGGAAACGACATACTGTTTAACATGGCATTCACACCGGATGCCCGACTACGAAGAGTTGCATGATATATCCAGTCAATATGATTGATATTTATAGTGATCACTAGTGGTGGCAGCGTTGAGCGAGAGACCAACAAAGCACCTTGAAGCACCAAAGATGAACTGAAGGCAAGATTT